TGATAGTTAGTGCATCAGATTGAAGGCATTCCTTGGTTCACAAGAGTGTATAGACATTGTGCAATATGGTTATGATGAACCAGAGTCCAAAGAATCAGAAGATGCTCTACCAGAGGTACAGAAGCAAGTCCTCAAAGCCAATAGAAAGAAAGACAACAAAGCAAAGACCATCATTTATCAAGGTCTTGATGAAGCGATATTTGAAATCATTGCTTCCGCAGAAACATCAAAAGAAATATGGGAGGCTCTCCAACAAAAATACAAAGGTGCTGACAGAATAAAGAAGATTCGTCTCCAATCTTTACGAGATGAATTTGAATTGCTACAAATGAAGTCCTCAGAATTCATTTCTGATTATCACACAAGAATTATGGTGATAGTCAATCAGATAAGAAGAAATGGAGAAGCCCTTTTAGATGCTCGAATTACTGAGAAAATTTTGAGATCCCTATATCCCAAATTTGATTTTGTTGTTGTCACTATTGAAGAGTCCAAAGAAGTGGACAAGTTAACAGTGGATGAACTTATGAGTTCTTTGCAAGCTCATGAGCAGAAGATTGTAAAAAGAAATAGAGATAAGGCAATTGAGCATGCCTTACAAGCAAAGTTGTCTCTCAAAGACAGATATGAGCAAGGGGAGACTTTAACAAGTGAATACACCACTCGAGGAAGAAGTCAACAAACACGAGGAGGATTTCAACGATTTCAAGGCAGAGGTTCTTGGAATACAGGTTTTAGAGGAAGAGGTGGTAGAAACACCACCAGAGGAGGTTGAGGACAACAAGCATTCACTCCTAGAGGAAGAAGAGGCAGTTACAATAACCGTGATAAGAGGAATATTCAGTGTTATAATTGCAATCAATTTGGCCACTATAGCACTGAATGTCAAAAGAAAGCTCCACTGGAGATACGTGAGCAAGTCAATTTTGCAGAAGAGAATGCCAACAAAAGAGGAGCAGCTGCATTATTTGTCCAACAAGGACTTGACAAGAATCAAGAGAATATTTGGTATCTTGATTCTGGAGCCAGCAATCATATGTGTGGCCAACAAGATTTATTGGTGATCTAGATGAGACCATACAAGGTTTTTTCACCTTTGGAGATACCTCAAAAGTTCCATTCAAAGGTAAAGACAACATCCCAATCAAGTTAAAGAATGGAGATCAAAGCTACATCGCCGATGTCTATTATGTCCCAGATATAAAGCAGAACTTGGTGAGTATAGGTCAACTTCTGGAGAAAGGTTATACACTTTACATGAAGAATTGTCATCTGACAATTACAGACTACAATGGGAGATTAATTGTCTATGTGGAAATGTCCAAGAATAGGATGTTTCCTTTAAACATCCAATATGATGCAGCAAAGTGTTTGAGTACCATCATCAATAGTGAAGAATGGCTTTGGCATCTGAGGCTTGGACATCTAAATTTCACAAGTCTGAAGATGCTAGCAAGCAAGAAGATGGTCAAAGGTATGTCCCACATTGATCATCCAGAAGAAGTCTGTGAGAGTTGTGTCCTCAGCAAACATCACAGATCCAGTTTTGCCAAAGAAATCAACTGGAAAGCAAACAAGCCACTAGAGTTACTACACACAGATGTGTGTGGTCCTATAAAGCCTATGTCGACTGGACAAAATAGGTACTTCCTCACTTTTATTGATGATTTTAGCAGAAAGACATGAGTATATTTTTTGAAGAGGAAGTCAGAAGTGTTCAATTGTTTTAAAGATTTTAAAGCAATTGTTGAGAAGCAAAGTGGCTATAAGATCAGAACCGTGAGATCTGATCAAGGTGGAGAATATACAGCAAATGACTTTGAAGCCTTTTTTGTACACAACAAGGCATCAGACATCAGACAACACCAGCTTATACACCACAGCTGAATGGTGTAGCTGAGAGGAAGAATCGAACAATTCTTGATATGGCAAGAAGTCTACTCAAAGCAAAGAAGCTGCCCAAGCAATACTGGGCTGAAGCTGTATCATGTGCAGTATATTTGTTGAACCGCTGCCCAACCAGAAGTTTGCAAGCTGTCACTCCACAAGAAGCATGGAGTGGTCACAAACCAAATGTTACTCATCTTCGAGTCTTTGGTTGTGTGGCATATGCAAATATCCCAGATGCAAGAAGGACCAAACTCGATGATAAAAGTGAGAAATGCAAGAAGGACCATCACATGGTGTGGGACCATACACAACACAACAGACAGAGTTTTGAGACAGAGAAGGCTATTGCAAACCAGCCTATTTCTCCCAACCCGATCATGGTTTTTGAGACTCAAGATTCAAGCTACTCACTGTGTTCTCCCCAGGATTCTATCAGAACAGACATCATAACCAAGTTGCAAGTATATCGAAAGCTCAAACCAGGACACACAAAATGGCCCTACGTAAGAGTAAAAGGAAGATTAAAATTCTTTCGACAAATGGTACATTACAGGAAACGGTTGAAGACAGAGAAGAGGGATCTTCAGAGGCCTGCATACAACAATCAAATATGTGCCTTCTTCACAGTGCTGCCCGTCACCATCCTCAAAACTTGATGCTGAACAAGAGGTTCAGGAGATATAAAAGCGGGCCATTTTTGGGCTTACCAGGCCAGCAACGTGAGGCCTCATTCTTTTTTTTTTCTTTTTTCTTTTTTTTTTTTAATTTTAAAATTTTAAATTCATATTTTTTTATATGCATTTTTAGAAATAACTTTGAAGTTTATATTTTAATTAATATATCTTCTCTGTGGTTTTTTTTTGGCTTATTTAACATTTTTTCAATAGCTATTAGTTTTTAATTATATTAGTTGTATTTAATTTTTAAAAAGGTTATTATAATTTATTTATGGTTTTTTTATATATTCTATATAGATTAGGTTTATTTTTAAAAATTAAAAATATTAATTTTTATATAATATTTTTAATATGTGAAACCTTACATAGTATTTTTATTCTTTTATTATATTTAATAAATTTTATGTGTGTGTTGAATACATTACAAATTAATGTTAATAAATAAATCTATTAAACACGAATAGGTAAATTAATTGTATTGTAATATTAAATATTTTAATCTATATTTATCTCTTAATTTTTTAATTTTTTAATTTATCATTAATTTATTTCTTATCAAATTATCCTAACATCATGATCTAAAACGCATGATAGACTTGTAATATGAATATATCTCTTGTTTAGGTCACGGGCCACTTGTTAGCCTAGCTTTATCCAAGAAAATATTATTTATATATTTATTTTTTTGTTATTGTTATCTTATTTTTTATTGTATTATTAAATTAATCAGGATTAACTGAATTTCAAATTTCTCTTATTTCTTTAAAAATATTATTATCTCTTGAACTCTTTTTTCTTGTTAAAACAAAATTAATTTTGCCCATATCACTATGCGAATCACCAATCTAGTAAAAAATACTAAAAACAATGGGGAATTTACTATGCAAAATACACTTTGAATTCCTTTATAAAACATTGTGAATATATTATTTATAATTTTTTTCTTTGTCCCTTTTTTTTATTTAGCCTTTATAAAATGAAATTATAGGTTAAGTTAGATTATTTTGTTAGGGAAGGGTGATGTTGAAATAGACAAGAGAAAAATGAAAAGATAAAGGACATGGATGGCTATTTTGAAGTTTGAGGTGAAATATTTATTTTTCCTTTTAAAAATAAAATCAAGAAAACATGTTATTAGAGAGGTAATTTTGTAATCTTATAATGATCCATTTGTTATTTCAAAATTTAAATGGGATAATTATATCTTTTTTATTTTTATAATGCATAGTAAAATGCATGCTCTCATATGGAAAAGTTTTTAAAGCTCATGTTCAAGAGTGTTTTTGTTCTCTTTTTTCTTAATAAAAAGTAAAATGATTTACATGCCCTGGATTTTCAAAATCTTATATTCATGGTTATTTTTTATTTACACTCAAGCTTTTTTGTAATTATTAGATTGGCTAAAAAAAATTATGTGATTTAATATATATAAATATTATGAAAAAAAATTATTGATGCTGACAATAAAAGCATTTGTACATGAACAACTCCCACACTTTCTAAGAGATGTATATGAGGTTGTTTGGTGGTCAAATATCATCTCTAACAACAGTATTCTAATTGTTTTAACATCGCCTCAACGAGGAGGTACTATATATGGGCAATGACCATTCATTTTGCACATTTAAAATCTTAAGAAAACCCTTTAGTTTTTAATCATTTTGGATTTGATATTTATTTTTTTATTATTATTTATTTTATTTTAAATAATTTATAAAATTAGAATTCTTTTTTCATTTCATCTCCCATTATTTTTTATTTTTCAAGTTTGGTCCCTATTTTTTTTTGTTATTTATTTTTTAGATAATTTTTAAAATTAATTTTTATTATATCTAATTTCATCATTTTTATTTTTTTTCCTATCAAACATGATCCTTATTTTTTTCTTCATTTGACAAATTTTTTAGATTTTTTTTGTTTCATCATTAACCTTAAATTAGTTTGAAATTGATCTTTTTAATTAAGTTTGGGTATAAAAATTCACAAGTTGTTAGTTTCAGATATTAAGATTTAAGCTGTTTTAGTTTTTTTAAATTAATATTTTTTATTTTATTATTCAATGTAAAATTGATTTTAATTTTTTAATTTTAAATTTTACCAATTGTTTTATAGTAGAGTTTCATGTTTTTATTAAGTTGTTTATGTTAATAATTTTTTGTTATCTTTTATTAACATGAATAATCATTTAATTAAATAAAATATTTATTTTAAAAAATAAAATTATTATATACAATTGAGTATATAATCATATAATAAAGTTAAATATCTTAATTTTAATTATTTTTAATTAAATATCAAATTAATTAATTAATTAATTAGATATACATATAAATATCATTGAAAAAATTTTATGTTCATCATAAACTTATATTCATTGTTTTTGAAAAAAAAACAATCGACCCGCGGCAACGCGCTGGTCAAATAGCTAGCAGATGCTGCAATTTCATGGATGAGCCGAACTGATATTTAGTTCCTGTGGACCCTTGCCTCCAATCTTGTGAGGCTGCGAGAGAGTTTCCAATGCCAGCCAGTCAGCTATAACTTTGTACAGTGCTGTACAAGTCGTAGCTAAACACCATAAGCAATTCATGGCTGCTCCTTCACTTATTCTTTTTCATACTAATAATCTAAGTTCTCCCTTTCCACTCACCTCTCCAAAACGTTATAAAAACCAAACCCTAAATGAAAACTCCTTCTTAAACCTCAAGAAGCAATCTCTACTTCCAAACTTGCGAGTCAAGAATCCCAGAACCAAGAATCCTCGCTCAGCTCCTGTTGTAGTCTTCGCTGCACAGTCTAATTTCTTAAAAGGTCAGCATTTTCCCCCTTTTTATATTTAGATGTAACTTGATAATTGTGGTCTGATTGTGATTTGAGGGTTTGTGAATTATTAGTTGTTCAGACAGTATGGAAGGTTGGGAAGGATGGTATCGAGGCAGGAACCAATCTTGTGCCTGTAAGTCGTGTTCTCTGGTTTTTCGATTTTGGGATGGGTTTTTTTTTGTCTGATTTAAGGTATTTTTCTGTTCTGTTTTTTTATAGAACCCAGTACCGAGACCGATAGCAAGGGTTGCGGTGACAGTTGTTGTATTGGCAGTTTCGCTGTTTTTGCTAAAATCATTCCTGTCAACAGTTTTCTTTGCGCTGGTATGTTCTCTGTTTCTGCTTCCTGTGAAGTTGGGTGTTGATGATTGATATAAAATCATATGCAATTTCTTATGTTGGGGTTTAAATATAATGAATGAAGACATGTCAATAATCTACTTTGATGGTCCTAAGGTAGCGAAATTCGTTGTCGATTAAGTTCTGACCTGCACAAAAGGCCTAACGATTTGGGCACTATCTTGGAGAGAGACTAGGTGAAACAAACATGTCTGTGAAGAAGCGGGCCTGGACATAAAGACCCTATGAAGCTTCATTGTTCCTTGTTGTTGGCTCCGAGCCATCAGTGAGATACCACTGATCTATGGGTCAAGGGACAGTCATGAATGTGTATGTGTGTGACTGTGTGGATGCATTTGATTGGGTTGTAGAGAGATGATGGCTTTTTTTGCCCAGTTTTGATCCGGGTGCCAGAAAATTATCTAGTCCCGGAGAATGTGCATGTCTTAAAAAATATCCGTTGATCAAAAGCCTTGTTGAGAAATGAAATTTTATGTGCTCTTCAATTTTCACTGTTATACACTTATACTCTTACAACCATCTGGACAAACTGTTTGTTTCTGCCAGGGGGGGGAGGTTGGTTGGTTTTACTGAAGCGTGTTTGAGCAGTATGTTTTTAACGTTGTTAGGTATTGCTTTCTTCTTGAATAACAGGCTACGATGGGACTCGTATACTTCACATTCATTGCCTTGAACAAGGACCAAGGGCCAAAAGGAGGTGGTGGTACCACTTTAGAGGACCCTGAAGAAGAAGCAAGAAGAATAATGGAAAAGTACAAGTGAAGGTTTTAGGAGTAAGTGATCCAATCATCAAGTTTCTATGCATGAAGCATGGCGCTCTAGAATTGGGCATGCGTTTAAAATAGGAAGAGATATTATATATAAATGCAACCGAAATTGTTCTTTTGTTTAAAGTAGATTCAATCCTTTTGTTTTCTAGATAGGCTTCAAAATTCCTGAGCGGTGAAGTTCTGGTTTGGCTTAAACCAGTACCCCAAGAAGTGCTTTTTGAAATTAAAAGAAATTCTATAGATATGCACATTTCTGCATTCATAATAGCCTTCTGTTTGCTTATATTTATGCAGAAAGCGACACTGTTAATGTCATTTTCTGCCTACTTGGAAAGGCATGGACTGTATTTGATTCTCCTGGAAATAGGCATATGCGTGTCCTTATCGAGTCTTAATCCACTGTGCATTTCCTACCGGCCACCAAATTATCTTCTTTTGAGCCTCATGGCTGTTCCTTTTATTCTTTGACTCATGATGGCACATGAAAACTCTTCTTTCTTTTTTTCCAATTCCAAATTCTGCGGGACCTTTTCCTCTGTGGTTAATGATGTTACTATAAATGAAAGCCCAAAACCTGTGACAGCAAGGGAGTTGGTTACCTTCTGTGTGCACGGATGGGAGGTCAGTCCTTGGTATATAATTCCCAAAGAAAGCTGCCCTCCTCAACTGTTCTTTCGTTGAGCACATTGATGGTCTTAGTCATGAAGACTGCACCTTTCCTTGGCACACCAACAAGCACTGCCGCTTCTCATCCCCGCATAGTTAAATCCATGTTGCTTGATGAGTTGATAAATGCTGCATCTGAGTGAAACAGGACACTATAAATTATGCTGGACTAAGATTAAGGTCCAAAAAAGAGTCAGGCGTGACTTAAACTGAAAAATTCAAGTTTATTTGATCGGGAACTACATATTAAACTGTTGTTATGAATCAAATTGATTTGGTTTGCTAATCAAAATTTCTCTCCCTCTCTTCTCATCACAACATCAAATATGCACGCAAGTGTTTTAGCCAAATTCGTGAGCCCAATTGCTGCTCTTGGAATGCTATCATTAGAGCTTTAGCTGAAACCGATGATGATCATCTTCGTCATGTCAACTCATTACAGGCATTACTGTATTTTTTTTTTCCCACATGCTTACCGATGGTCTTGTGAAAGCCAATAAATTCACGCTCCCTTGTGTGTTAAAAGCCTGTGCAAAATTGGCCAGGTGGAAGAAGGAAAACAGCTTCATGGGTTTATTGTGAAAGCAGGATTGGCCAGTGATGAGTTTGTTCTTAGTAATCTCTTTAGAATGTAATTATTTGTGGAGGTCTTGAAAGATGCTCAAGTTTTGTGTTTCAAGCATTTCTTTGAATTTGGTTATTATAGCAAGTTGGTGAGAGATAAGAGGAAGGTACACGGTAATGGTGTTCTATGGAATGTGATCATTGATGGGTATACGAGGATGGAGGATCTTATAGCTTCCAGGGATTCCTTTGATAGTATGCCTAAAAAAAGTCTGGTTTCATGGAATACGATGATCTCTGAAATGCACAGAGTTGACATTTTATTGACCCAATGGAGATGTTTCGTTGTATGCAATTGGGAGATTGTATGTCTTTGGTTAGTGTTCTTAATGCGATTTCGCTGTTAGGGGCTCTTGAATTCTAGGCGAGGCTGGGAAGCATATGCTTGACATACCTCTTAAACCAGATGATGTGACCATGAAGGCCTTGCTTAGTGCTTGTAAAATACACGGCAACATTGAGATTTGATCTTGTATGGCTCTCTCCAGTATGTTTGTGAAGACATGAATTGGGAGGGGATTGCCGAGGTGCGGCTTAAAATGAAGGAAATGGGTGAAAGTAAAGTCCCTGGATTTTGCTGGATTGAGCTTGATGGGGGTGATATACTTGGATTCCTTGTGGAAGATGATAATTCCGGAATCTTTTTTAATAGCACAATTAGCAAAAATAATTTGCAAGTTAGCACGGTTTAAAAATAATTAAGGAACACGGTTTAATTGGCTGTGTTATTATAAAAAAACAATAATATAGGAGCGTTTATAATTGCATTTCAATTGATGTTTTATGAAAAAAAAATATTGCATTTCAATTGATGTTTTATGAAAAGTTTTTTTTTGCTTAAAATTATTTTTTATTTTTGGATTAGATATTTTTTAATATATATATATATATTATTTTGATATATTTTCAAGTAAATAATATTTTTAAAAAATCATTCCTACACTTTTAAATACTCTTTTAATAATTTAACTTTTTAAAATTTTAAAATTTTAAATGATTAAAATGTGTTATTTTTTAAAATAAAATCTCATGTTGTACTAGTTCGTTACAAAAAAAAAAAAAAAAACAAACCTGCTCATTGTATTATTTAGAAAAAACAAACAATTGCGGTGTTTTTTAAAAAAATTAATACTTTTTTACTTTTTTTAAATTAATATTTTTATTATTTTTATATTGTTTAAACATATTAATATAAAAAATTAATATTTTTTTAAAATAATAACTCTCTGAATTATTAATAAGTTTGTATATTAGTAAATATAGTTGAGATTTCTCTTAAAATATTTTTTACTTGACAGTTTGTTAAAATAATTTTTTATTTTTTAAAAATTATCTTTTAAAAAAACTTTTAAAACACAAAAGAATATGCTAATAATGTCACTCTTCAGTAAAACTTATCTCAAAGAAATATAATCTTGTCAGAGACGTCATTTCCAGAACGTTCATGTTCCTGTATGAACTGTTGGTGAGCCGCTGCCATTTTCCATCAGCAGTGGTTCACTAATTACTAGTACTAATTAATAAATACATCTGTATAAATGATTACATTCCTTGAAAAATACAACCAAAAAAGAAAAAAAATGAATTTTTCATTTTTTAGTCAAAAACTTGTATACTTTATTGATACATGCATAATCTATTAGGATAGTAATAACACAAAAAACACGGTAATTTTAATGTGTAAAAAAAATTAAGATGAAAATCCTAAATTTGCAATTTGTTTCTTTAAAAATAAAATTAATAAAATTTGTCTTTCTAAAGGATAACAAGACTTATAAATATAACATAAAATCTAACCTCTGCTAAAATACAATTAGAATTTTGTAAGCACAAAGAATATTAAAATAAAAAACCTCAAAAAAAAAGTCTAAATAATAATATTCAAGCTTAATTCTTCATTATAAGAGATTTAGCGGACGGATAAACAAAATACCCACTTCTAATATGAAAATTACTTATAAAATTATATTGAAAAATTTAAATTTAAATTAATAGTCAGATCTTGTTTTAAGTTATTAATATAATCTAGCATAACATGATCTTGTTTTAAGTTACTAATATAATCTAGCATGATATGATTTTTTTTAGATTAAACTTATCTTATTAACTTATTTTTTAGATTATTTTTATAATTTATTTAGGTCAAATTCTTATTTAGTCGAGTTAGATTTTTATTTAAATGTTTAGAGCTTTTAATTTTTACAAATTAATTGCATTATTTATTCTTTTATTTGGAGATGTGATAAATATTAATTTTTAATGTGATTTTTAATTAAAGACATATTAATATAATATATTTTTTAAGTTTATATTTTACACTAAAATATTAAAAAACTAATTAAAAACTAAAAAGGGAAAAGATTTTTAAAAACATGATGAGATTGGCATTGTACGGCATCAAGAACTTCCCAATCAAGTTTTTTTTTTTTTTAAACTCGCACTAACTTTTCTCACAATTCTTTTTTAAAAAAAAAAACAAATCACAGGGGACGGATAGGGTGACCAATGATTTCAGTGGACCGGCGTGAGTTGAAATAGTAAAATGTCAACAAACATGCTTCTTCCAAATCCTACCTAAACACGGGCATCATTTCATGATAACTCAACATCTCCTTCCCCATTTCCCCCTTGGCTTCATTGATGAAGCTCTTGAAAAAGGCTATGCATTGGCCCTTTTTATCTAGACTCTGCTTGTCAGAATAGACCAGCAAAGGGGCTGAGATGAACGAAGAGAGGGAGTCTCGATATATATATATATATAAATCTTATCCTTTCATTCCTTTTATTTTTTTCAAACTTTATAATATGGATTTTTATATTTCATTTTGTTTTAATTTGAAATTTTATTTTGTTTTAATTAATTTGAAATTAATTTATCTATTGTTATAACAGGAAAGGCCCTTTTATTTGAAATTAATTTATCTCTTGTAATTAAATTAAATAAATTGAATTTAAGTATTTTAAAAAAATACAATTTAATTCATTTTGTTTTATGTATCACCTTCTTCGTCCCCTTTATATTTATTCTTTCAAATGTCTAAAAAAAAAGGGTTAATGAATATTTTATGGAAGCTAGTTTTAATATTAATCTCTCATATTTAATGCAGTAAATCAGAGAAATTGATATATAATTTATTTTCACACTATTTTTAGATACTAAATTCTATTTTAAATTCAATTTTTACGACATGAAATTATACTAAAATCTCATACAGCATGAATTTGACACCCAACATGGAAATATGAACACAAATGTCAAGAAAAGCAGCCGTAGGCAGAGAAAATTTGGCAAAAAGCCAAGAACCATTTATTGAAAATCCTCTCCCTCTCAATGAACACTGGCTCTGCATAGCTGCGTAGCATTAACATGGGAAGTCTTGCACGCCATTAAAAAATTAGGTCGAAGGGGAGATTTTCTCAGGAGAGCTTTGAACTTTAATGCAAGCATGCTGTTACCAAAGCTGGTCTTGCTTTTTAACCTCATACACCTGCAAAGCATTAAGACTGCCATTAAAGAGAATAATTACCGAATTTCAGTGATATAATCACTTTCTTAGGGAGACCCACAGGAGGAATATACATGATTAACCTGTGGCTCTCGCATGAACAGAGCTTTTCATCATCATTTCACTGTTTTATTTACAAATTACAAAAAAGAAAAAAGAAAAAAAAAGTTTTCAAGATGTTGCCTCAAGGGCCCCCCCACTTCACGTCTCAGCTTTGGACCGGGCATAGATTCACCTTTTTCTTTCTTTTCCTTCCTCAGCTTGCTTTTCTAGACTGCCCCCCCAGGCATCTGGGCCTCCACATGGAAATCTCCCCTACGCACCTCATCAGTATCAAGGCTTGAGCTTGCTCGTGTGATTTTAAATGTAATTATCAATTAAAATATTATTTATTTATTTTATTTTTAAAATAACATTTTTTTATATTTTTTACATTAATATATCTACACCATCTAAAAGCATATAAAAAAATCAATAAAAAATAATTCACTACAAAAACAATTATTATAAATTTGAATCATGGATAATTTAATATCAAATACAGCTTGAAATCTAATAATTTATAAATTCAAAACTATATTTAAATCAAATTGCAAATTAAATTGAGTAGAGGTTACATGGCAAGCAACTCATAATCTAGTCAAAATTTGATTTTATTTTTTTAAATAATTCAAAATAATATTAATTTAAATTTATTTTAAAAAATTAAAATAATTTTATTTTAAATTAATATATATTAATCTATGTAACTCATAATTCAAGGTTTAAATGGTGGATTTTAATAATATCTATTATTATAGTAAAAAAAAATGTATTTTATTTTAACTCATTCGGTTTCAAAACTTGAAATTAGCATTAAGGATAATTTATCAAGAAAATCTTAATTCATCTGCTTGATGCAAGAACATGTTTTTTTTCTTAAAAAACATCAAGCTGCCTCGTCATCTCCCACCACCAATGGTTGATCGTAAAAGATCATGTAACATAGATGTAGGGTGATGATCAAAGGTGCACAAAAACTAAGGTAGTCCTCCCCTTCAACTTCATCACCTTGACGAGACAACACTCGGTGGTTCCAGCCTAGCTTTTCCACTTGAATGCGAGCCTAAGAAGAAAATAATAATAATAATAATAATAATAAAATAAAAATCTGGCAATTCCAAAGCAGAGCGTGCAGTGAATTGATAGACAATATAGAAAGAGCAAACACAATAATTTATCCATGCAGCATGCTGTTTTTGAGCTCTACCTTTTTCCTATTGCCTCCACCGTTTGTTCATCATATTGTTCTTGTGATATCAACGGTCACTAATAATAAAAAAAAAAAGAAATTAAACACGAGAATAATTTAACTGTTAAATTTTAAATTTATTTTTAAATAATCACAAGTGGGAGTCTTTTATAATCACAGAAAGCTTACATAATTATGATTTATAAGATTACAAACTAATGCATTTAAAATAATAATAATAATAAAATAAAAGAAGATTATATCATAGGAATTTCGAAAATCAACTTCAATCTCATATTTACAAGGAAATAAATCTTGACCGTAGAATTAGCAGACAAAGAGCTTACTCATAGTCAACACTGTGTCAGCTTTCCCAAAAAGAGGACACTTCTCCCACTGAACTCCTCAAAAACCACACCATCACCCTTACCTTTCTTCTCCATCTTCTTGTCTGCCCTCTGCTTCGTTCATGGCGGTTTTGAAACTTTACTCCATCTACATTTTCTACACCTTAATAAGCATAAACTTCTCTGCTTCCCCCACTCAGTCTTTGTTACTTTCTGCTTCAACAGATGTTGAGCTTCTGCTTGGAAAGATCAAAGCTTCACTGCAAGGTAACACTGAAAACCTCTTGCTCTCTTCATGGAACTCCTCTGTGCCTTTATGCCAATGGAGAGGCCTCAAATGGGTCTTCTCTAATGGCTCTCCTCTCTCTTGTATTGACCTTTCAGCGCCACAATGGACTAATCTTTCACTCTATAAAGACCCCTCTTTGCACCTTTTATCTCTACAGCTACCATCTGCTAATCTCACTGGTTCACTTCCTAGAGAGCTCGGTGGCTTCTCTATGCTTCAAAGTTTGTATCTTAACATTAATTCACTGGGTGGAACCATCCCTCTTGAGCTTGGTTACAGCTCTTCACTCTCAGATATTGATTTGAGTGACAATGTGTTTAGTGGGACTCTAGCTCCATCGGTGTGGAACTTGTGTGATAGATTAGTTTCACTCAGGCTTCATGGTAATTCACTTACCGGGTCTCTTCCTGAACCAGCATTGCCTAACACAACTTGCAATAATTTGCAGTTTCTTGATTTGGGTAGCAACAAGTTTTCAGGGAGTTTCCCTGAATTTGTTACTCGCTTTCAAGGTATAAACGAGCTTGATCTTTCCGGTAACATGTTTTCGGGTCCAATTCCTGAGACTTTAACTGGTTTAAAACTTGAAAAGTTGAATCTTTCACACAATAATTTCAGTGGAGTATTGCCTTTTTTTGGTGAATCGAAGTTTGGTGTGGAGGTTTTTGAAGGGAATGATCCCAGTCTTTGTGGGCTACCTTTAAGAAGTTGTAGTGGAAGTTCTAGATTGAGCCCTGGTGCAATTGCTGGCATTGTGATTGGATTAATGACTGGAGTTGTAGTTTTGGCCTCACTGTTAATTGGTTATATGCAAAACAAAAGGAGGAAGGGGATGGGAGATAGCGACGATGACATGGAGGAGGAAAGCGGAGATGATGGAGTTGGTGGTGTTGGTGGCGTAGGTGGGGAAGGGAAACTAATTTTGTTTCAAGGCGGTGAGCATTTGACTTTGGAGGATGTGTTGAATGCGACAGGACAAGTTATGGAGAAAACAAGTTATGGGACTGTTTATAAGGCCAAGCTTGCCGATGGGGGGACAATTGCTTTGAGGTTGATGAGGGAAGGCAGTTGCAAGGATAGAAGTTCGTGTCTTCCAGTGATAAAGCAATTGGGGAAGATTCGGCACGACAATTTACTTCCTCTGAGAGCTTTCTATCAGGGGAAGAGAGGGGAGAAGCTACTCATTTATGACTATCTTCCAAATAGAACCCTACACGACCTCTTACATGGTAAGCACATCTTCGGCCTTTCCTCTGATTTTATATACTCATGTTCCTTTGTCATGCACTTGTTGAAAGCACAGCTTCTTTTGGCTGGTAGAAACACAGTTCATTAGGACTCAGGCCTTTTGTCATTAAGGCCTTGAATTGTAAGACAATTTTGTTCAAGCACAAAATTCTGTTTGTTCCCAGACATTTCTCCATATTACCATTTATATTTATACTAAATCAAGAAAAAATGAGTGATTACATGGTTTGATGCTCTTGCCGACACCGATTAAAAACAAAATTTGTTTCAGTAAGAATAGCCTCCTTACTTGTAACACACCCCTTTGAGGCACCCTCAACATTGGAATGGTGGATCTTCTGCGATCCTCATGTCATCAAAAATTTTGTAATCTCCCAAGGGGCCTTTCTAAATAGATAATTGTAGAAACAAGAGCAGGAAAATGCATTACTTTGTGCATTATTAGATATGTTAGTGCTGTTTGAACATTAGGAAATACAGATCCATTACTCTTGTTTTAAGCATCTGGTCAATTGCAGAGGCCAAAGCAGGAAAACCAATGCTGAACTGGGCTAGAAGGCACAAGATTGCATTGGCTATAGCTAGAGGACTAGCATACCTTCATACAGGTCTTGAGACACCAATTACCCATGGGAATGTCAGGTCAAAAAATGTGCTTGTGGATGAATTTTTTGTTGCCAGGCTTACCGAGTTTGGACTTGACAAGCTAATGATCCCCACAGTAGCTGATGAAATCGTGGCACTTGCGAAAACTGATGGCTACAAGGCACCGGAGCTTCAAAGGATGAAGAAATGCAATTCTAGGACAGACGTTTACGCATTTGGAATCCTTTTGCTGGAGATTTTGATAGGCAAGAAACCTGGAAAAAATGGAAGAAGCAACGATTTCGCAGACTTGCCTTCGATGGTTAAAGTCGCAGTCTTAGAGGAAACAACAATGGAGGTTTTTGATTTGGAGGTTTTAAAGGGGGTAAGGAGTCCAATGGAAGAAGGGTTAGTTCAGGCACTGAAACTTGCAATGGGGTGCTGCGCTCCGGTGGCGTCGGTTCGACCAACCATGGATGAAGTTGTGAAGCAGTTGGAAGAGAATAGACCAAGAAACAGGTCTGCTTTGTACAGCCCTAATGAAACGAGGAGTGAAATTGGTACTCCCTTCTAAGCTCTCCTCTTACACCATGTTTTAGCTCCTTTTTTAGCTGTTTCTCATTAGCTGAGGCAGTGTAGTGGATTGATTACAATACTTTTCTGTTATATTAATGTGTATTTTAAGTCATTATTTAGCCACTAATTCTTGAGTATTTGTCCTTAAATATTATGATAATTAAATATGCTGAAATTGTGTTTATCATCAGTCCTTGAGAACAGGCCATTTTTGTCTCTAAAGAATTTGTGCTTTGTGGCGTTACTTTTTAATAAATACAGTTAAACCTCTATAGATAGATATTATATAAACTTCAAATTTAATTCGTTATAAAATGATTAATCATATTTTCCTGATGTTTATCATTACTGTTGAGAAACCGAGTTATTTATTAAAGATTAATGCTTGAAGTTTTTTCTTGGTATATTTTCTTAATATTTAGCATGCAATTGTTTTTAATTGGAGCAATTTGTTCTTGCTTTGGATTATTATAATTATAGTATTTTTTAGATATTTTTATATTTAGATCATTAAGCACTTTATTTTCATATGCATTACAAAAAGAATTTATTGAAAAAAATAGTTTATTTTTCTTTAGTTTGATGAGCTTTTCTTGAAAGTTGTTGCTCTATGATATGGTTATTAGACCTAATTTTGCAGCTCAAGTCGGACCAAGGATGTGACCTAAGCTGAGAATTAAAAAAATCAGCCTCGAGGTAGTTAATATACTTTTGGTTTTAATTTTAAAAAATAAAATAAAATGATGATTTTTTTAACTAATTTGAGTTAATACGGATTAAATTATTATCTCAGTACTTGCATTTTAATTTGGGTTATGGCTAAGAGCGCACCATGTTTTAAAAAATAATTTTTTTATATATTTTAAATTGTTTTGATGTATTTCAATACTAAAAACATTTTGAAAATTATAATATATAGAATTTAAATCTAATTTAATAATTTAAAAAAAAAAACTAAACATTTGTTTTCACAAAAACTTAATATGTTGTCTACCCAGCCTCAATTATACAAAGAAATATTGGAAGCTGAGATCGAGAGTTATTATTTATTTGCAAGGATCTCTTTTAATTAAGAAAAATAGATTTAATGCTCATAATAAAAGTGGGCAAGAGCTACTGTAGACATGTAATTCTGACACCCAAATTCAAGACCTTAAATTATTCTGATTTCAAAAGAAGAAATAACAAAGAAATTTGCCTATTGTATTTAATTTTTCGACGGCAAAAGTTCAAGATAACAAAGAAGAAAAGGAAGGAAATAAAGCAATAATAAGAAAAAAAATAAAAAGAAAAAATAATCTGACCTAAAACCATCCTATCCTAATTAATTATTATGTCTTGTGTTTTATGAAAATGTGGGTTAATTAATGGTTTTTTTTTTTTTAAATCCAACATGTAGTAGTCTATAACAAGTTTTCATAAGAAGTTTCACATCATTAACAGCTTAAATTTTATATTGGGATGATTTTTTTACATGATTTTTAAATTTTAATAGCTAGTTATATGAATATGAGTTCGGATCACAGTCGTTTTCTTTTCTAGTTAAACTTATTAATCACATAAGACACCTTGAAAATCTCAAATTCAAATGAATTTTACTTGAAATCTCAACTCACAACTTAATATAACTAAATCAGAATATAAGAAGATAAAAAAAAAAGGGGTTAGGAACTGAGCTCGATCGAGAATTCATGAATGATTTTTGCCATATAGCCTAGAGAAAAACAGTGTCATATGAAAATCATGTTCGCCACGAATAGAAACGTGGTCGGCTTGGAATCCTGAGCTCACAGCTTCTCTTCCATGCCCAGAAACCCGATCAGAGAACTTTGTCAACTTGGTGCCGGCGCAGTTCAAGCACGTTTATGTGGTTAAAAAAGGCAACCCATTTTCCAGGACGCCCGAGTAGAGGCTAGAAAGCATGAAAACAACTTTAGAGGTTTTACAATCTCACAAGTGCACTTGCTTTCTCAGCTCAGCAAAATTTGCCCTTTTAAATGGTTCCAGTTCCTATAATGTCATACAAAGATCTTTGCAACCAAATACACAAAAGGATGGGAAAAGATCAGCAGGAATGTATATATATATATAAGTTCAGCATTTGGTTGTTGTCTGTTCATAGGTTCCCATTCTCTTCTATTGATGATTCAGAGGCAGAATCATCCAACGTTGAATTTGAGATGGTCTCACTATCAGAAGTTCCAGATGATTTATCTTGATCAACAGGTTGTTTCAAATACCAATACATAATGCTCGCTGTCAACGTAAGAATCATCTTCTGATTTACCTGAAAAGGAAAAAAGGGCAAACTTGATATCCATGTGCTTATCTGAAACAAAGTAGGAGTTCCAGGGCAAATGAAGTTTCCAGTTGCAACAGTTCTGCTTATAAGCTGACTCTAGCCCTATGGTGACAGAGACTTTAAATGGACATCATCAGATGAGACCAGTGTTCCATCCACAAGATTACCAACTTACATTGATCCCCGGTGCTTGTGCATGTGTGTGAAAATGTCAGCTGAAAATTGCATCAAATACTGTCACTTGCTACAATTTGGCTCCTATCTAATTTCCAGACCGAAGATTTAGTGCAAGTCTTGCAGATTTACCCTTTAGTTTAGGCACACCACTGCTGTAGTTAGACATGAAGCATATGCCTAATGCAAACAAGTACTGAAAGATAAGAAGGAAATTACCTCAGTTAGGTCTTCGGGAAGCAAAAATATAGAACATCCTAGCTTCCTTGCAATGCTGATGATGTAGGTGGCATTCATCTTTTTCTCGTCATCTGCATCGCTCCCAAATTTTTGTGGAAACAAAATACAATGAGTATTATTTGAGTATAATCACGCCCTAAAATGTATTTCATTGAAATTAAACCAGTGAAGTGACAGAAAAGAGGAGTAAAGATCATTTGAAAAACTTCAGCAACATACAATTAGAAGAAAGCTTACCAGTTACTCCTTTCGTTACCAGACTCCAATTTACTGCTCTAGGCTGAACAGCGCTCAGCAACTCAAGGAAGAAGATGCCATCTGACAGACTTTTATCCTGAAGAGTTTTGAAAGGGAAAGCTTGTAACGTCCAAGGCAAACATGTTTTTCTTGCATCTTTGTATAATCCAGTACTAGATCTTGCAAGTAAATTATCAGTTTTGTGCTGCAGCTATAATTCCCTAGGATGTCTATGGCACAATCTTGTTAAAGCAAGATGCCGGTTTCGCACACTTAAAATAGAAAGAGTTGCATGAACAAAAGTAACATGCAGAGTACACGCAGCAATAAGAAAAATGGATCCGTACTCTATTCAGGACTTTCTTAACTAGGGGGAGAGAACAAAAAAGATGTAGCAAAATTGCCTCCAAATGAACCGAGCTAAAGCAAGTTCCTTAGTTTCAGGTCAGACGGGTGCCTTCGCCTTCGCCTCTATCTCGAAAGAGATTGGTAAGGTGAAAGGTCGTAGCACTTACCATTCTTTGTGATTGCTTATTCGAAGCAGGCCGACTTTCAAGTACATTGGTTGTCACATAACAACATCCAATGTTTCATATGTGCAAGAGGCTCCACAGCCAAACTAACCAATGATGTACTACTGTAATCAAAACAACCTAGCAGGCCTAGTTGAGCCTTGAAAAAGTAGCTAATTCAAAATGTATCTTATATGCAATGAAATCAGATATAGAATCACACCTTAAAACTTTTCATGCGACTTTGGGTTCCTGAGTTGCTGACTTTCGTGTTGGCCCATTGTAAAATATCTGCATCTGTAATTTCCTTTCCATGGGAATGGAATCTCAAGTTCTTTAGAAGTTGGAGAATGTTGTATCTCATCAGCTGCCACAGATAAGCTAAAGAGAATTCCAAGCATTAGTATGAATGAAAAAAAATGACTCAGCACACTGGGATTCAGAACAAAAATGGAGGGGAAGTGTAGAATAGAGTACATACCCAATATTAACTTCTTATTTCCTTGCACAATGTCATTTCCAGCAATGTTAACCAGGGAAAATTTTAACTGTTTTCCTATTTTTACAACTTGATTACAATTTTCTACTTTTCTGAAAGGCAATTTGATAGGTGGTTTATTTGCAACTTTCCAATTAACGATCCCTGGTGAAACCTTGTCAAGGGTCTCTAGAAGTAGCCACCTGCAGGGCAACAAATAGTTTCACTTCAGCTTCTGATTAAGGTGTTACAAAAATATTTCGAACTTACTATTTGACCAAGAAATTCTGATAAGAAACCATGGATATTATTAAGCCAGAATCCAGGACAGTTGAATAAACTATAACCTATTTGTGTCAAGAGATTTGGATGAGGAACCTTGCCATGATACTTGTGATTAAACGTACTGTATATATTAAGCTAATACTAACCCATTTCTGAGATCTTCAAACACATTGTCAATGTAGGTTGAATTCCCAAGACTATTCATCCAGAAGCGAAATGCTCTTTCTTCTCTAGAGATTTGAGCGTCGTCTGGTAAAGTTTCGAGAAAAGATATCTGTTTTGTCTGTGTTGACAGCCCATTCCTGCAGGAAAGAAACAGTAATTAGAGTATGCTTTTTTGGCTCTTTAAAGGTGGTGAATAGTGAGAAAACAATCCAAATTTCTGCTGGTGAATTACAGCCATTTGAAATGAAATTCATTTCTTGAGGAAGGGCCTATATTCTCACCTGTGTTGGAAAATATGAGCAACAAAGGCAAGGTTAAGATTCGGGGAACCTTCAACAATGTCCTTTGCAGTTAAGTATCTCTTGCAACCCATCCTGTCTGCATGTTCAAGAACTAACTTTGCCCTTGTCAATGGATCCTTTACTGTCAATGTAGATGGATTACTGTATTCAGGTGCAAGAACGTTGAGAAGGTGAGCATAAGCCTCTGCATCCTGCAGAAACCATATCAACGGTCAAGTATCAGGATAATTGCAATTGCATAAGCCTCCGAGTTGATTATTTATGTCATTCTACAATTGTATAATTTTTATTTATGTCATTCTGCAATTGTGTGCCAAATTAAGGAAGAGAACTACTGACATCTATATTAGCATCAGCAAAGAGAGATGTGTCAGAATAAAATCACACATGAATTCTAGAATCACTGTTTCTACAAGTTCAGGAAAAACTAGGATACTTGGCAATTCATCAGAATTTTTCTGATGAAGAACTTCACCTGTTACACAGCAACTTCACCTTCTTTAGATTCAACCATGAATAGATTGAAAACCATTTCAACTTCAACTCAAATAATATACTAATAAAATGTTATTTTTTCTAGTCAGATCATACTTGTATGGACATGAAGTTTTCTCATATGCAATCTTTCTAAGAAAATACATGGCACTGACCAACATATGGATCATCTGGCCAACTTCTCTTTTCATGAACATGATCAGAATGTAGTTCCTTGAAGATACCACAGAAGTGAAGGCAGATTAGGACTCAAATACAGTAGTTTTTTACTAATCTAGCGCTCATAGAAGTTTGCCGCTATCAAAATATAAAACTAATCTCTTTACCTTCACATCAGAAGAGAAATTTGTGACTATTTTCTTGTACCCTGCTTTTTTCAGTAGGAAGTTCATCCACCTGAGTAAGATCTTCTCTGGTGGTAGACTCATCAACTCTTCTACATCCTGTTTTTCAAAAGGAGTATATGTCATCCAACTTAAACCGATAGTTGATGAAAATACAATTTCTAAAAAAGACTATATACCTTACTGTCATCAACTAATTCCAGCAACTGAGGTGTTCTCTTCAAGTTTAGGTCTGCCAAGAGTTGTATCTGAAAAAAAAAAAGCAACGCCATTGGGAAAGGTTAAACAATGCATAAAGAGGTGTAAAAGCATGCATCACTTTATTTATGATAGCAAAGCTGAGGATGGATACTTGCATCACTGGATGCACCTATAGTTCAAATTGTTGATCATAATGCATCATCAGTCAAAAAAAAATTAAATTAAATTCGGGGAAAAAGCTTAAGAATCTTACTTTAATTATTTGAGAAATCATCCCAAGCACGAGATGGCGCTGATGAAATTGAAACCAAAGAAGAGACTATTATCATCTATTAAAAAGTCATAAGATTATCAAGAAAATCCAGTTAAATAAGAGAAATTGCTGAATCAAAACGTGGAAATGGCACATACCCTTCCTTCAATAAAGTCTTGGGTGCCTATATTCACCACAGTACACCCAATTGCCTTTGCAGAATTGAGGCAGAGTGTATGGTTTTCATTCCTTTCCCATGGATTGAGTATCCTCTTGGTATTGATAGCTCTTTCATCAATTGTACCAGCAACTGCTACATTGATAAGCTTACTGCAATAAAAACAAGAATGCTTCAAAATCTTTTTGCTCATCATCATCACCAGTCAAGGAACCACCTCAATCCATAAACGTAAATATCATATACATCCCGTGCTTAATTTTATTAATTTAACCAGATAGAATAGAGCTGGTGAGATTCAAATTCTTGATCATTTGATCAACGAGGCTCTACATCTCAATCCAAAATCCGATGAGGTCCCGATAGTGATTTTATATTAATTTTGAACAACAATTTTTTTTTTTTTCATTAATTTTGAACAACAATTTTTTTTTTTTGTAAAAAAAAAAGAAAATGTTACCAAAGAAGCACTCCGTCTTTCGCAATCTCGAAGAGATCATTAGTTGAAGGATCGATAGGGAGGTATTTCTTCAAGAAATCATCTTCTCCAAGATAATTATTGATATGTGCAACATAGGATGCCTTCTCCGATTCACTGATGGTGTGAAGCAACGTAGTGGTGGCTGCTTTAAGGAATGCGGAAGAGTTCTTTGCAACACTTCCTGTTCTTGCACTTGCATGCGCATGCAGTTTCAAATATACCTGCAACAAAAAAGATCATCTTATCTCTGTCTCACTCTCTCATCTCAGCCCGGATACGCATAAAGGAAGTAGAAATGGAAATGAAAAGACAAACCTTGAGAAAGAACTCAAAGTCAACCTCTTCGTCGAGATTCTGATACAAATCTTGAATACAAGCAGCTCTGTCTTCCTCTGTCAGATTCTCTCCAACTACTTTCAACCTCGACATCCTCGAAGCCAAGTCCCTTAGCGTCAGCTTCCCACTTTCCCTCCTCATGCTCATAAACTTCAAATAAAAAACATTGATCAGATCAAAGAAAACAGAGATTACAAGATTTGATCCAAACATATACACATAAACAAATAATACATGTGTTTTTAAGCTGCGAAGCTCGACTTGGGTGAACTGGTTTTGCAGCCATGGATCTGACACAAGAATGCCGACGTAACCTGACATTTTTTCTCTCTAGAATTCAAACAAACCTCAAGATTTCTACGTAAAAAGGAAAGGAAGAACGTTTTCTTCTCTTTCTTGAGGAGGGGGAGGGAGGAAGAGAGAGTGAAGAAGTAGTTGTCAGAGTAATTCAAAGAATTCAAATTAAGACTAATATGTCCTTGTTTGCTAGTTACTCTCTCTTCCACTTGCCCATGGGACCTCCTTCGGTGTCGTTTACCTGAACTCTTTTCCATTTGAAATTTGAAAAGAGTCTCCTTTCCTTGCGTTCCCCTTTCTTCTTTCCAAGCAATTAGATAGAAACCTTTTAGTTTCTAACCAATTACATATTTTGCTTCCATGACAGATTTTAAAGTGTTTGATTAATCAATGCATATCATGGTTTTAAATATATTCCCTTAAAGGTTTTTTTTTTCAAAATCTTAGTTCAAAAAATACTACAATTTATAATTTTTAAAATCTATTTTCTAAAATTACAACCATAAAAATTATCAAAATACCAAATAAGCTAAATGAAAAGATATTAGATTATTAATTTATTAAACTAAATCCAACATCATTATATCAATTATTTTAACTAAAATTAATTTTTTTATTTATAAAAAAATTATTAGAATTGATTTAACCAGAATAATTATATGTTCTTATAAATGACAAAAAAAGAATTGATTTGAAAAAAATATATGAATCATCAAATTATTGAATTAACTTGTTAATTATCGAGTTAATCATTTTAATTATGACAATATTTTTTTATTGGAAAACAAATTGAGGAGGTCCAAGTTTAAAAATTGAGTTTAGTTGAGTTATTATTTTTTTGAGTTATGAATCTGGTCCAAGTTTAAAAATTGAGTTTAGTTGGGTTATTATTTTTTTTAGTTTAATTTTTTGAGTCATGAATTTTCTAAATTAACTCATATAACTAAACCTGGTTTATTATTTATGATTATTAAAATTATTATTTATTTTAATTTAGTATGTTCATGAATAATTTGGTGCGGATAAATTTGCGTGAAAAAAGACATTGTTGCTTTCTAATGGATTACGTTTTAAAATTTTAGTTCTTCCATGATGTATTTCAAAATGGAGATGACTTTTTAATTAATCTGAGAAAACAAATAAATAAATAGAGGTAGGTGGTGATGGATAATAAAGTCATTTGATACATGAGAGGATGATTTGGTCATTTTCCAAATTGCAAGCCCCACCATGGGAAAAGATTGCTTGCTTTTAAAAAAGTGTTTTGAGTTGATAACACAACAAGACACGAAGAACAGAACATAACAGAACGGTCGTATTTGAGGTTTTCCTATGCAATTTATTAATTTGAACGTTGAAGTTCAAAAATGTCGAAATTATCCAATTGCCTCTTTGTATCGAACCTTTCTCCTTAACCCCCTTCTTTTTTTTCTTTTTGTTTTAGATTTTTAGTTTATTTGAAAGTGTTATTATGTTGTTTTTTAAATAGTTTTTTATGTTGAAATATATGTTAATAATATTTTTTATTTTTAAAAAATTATTTTTAATATCAATACATCAAAATAATTTAAAAACACTAAAAACATATTAATTTAAAATTAATAAAAAAATTTAAATTTTTTAAAAAACGTTTTTGAAATCCAGAAATAAACTGGGAAGAATATTTTTAAAAAATATTTTTTAAATTAAAATAATATATTTTTTAAATTTTTTTAAATTTTTGATGATAATATTTCAAAACCATCAACAAACATTAACATAGTATTTCTTTTTAGACGAAAAATAATTTAAAAATTACTTTGAAAAATAAAAGTTGTTATTGTACCAAACATGTTCTAAAATTGTGTTTGATATCACAAAAATGTTTGTTTTTTAAAGTGTTTTATATTTAAAATAATATTTTTTTATTTTTTAAATTTATTTTTGATATCAACACAGCAAAATAATTTAAAAATACTAAAAATATTAATTTAAAATAAAAAATTATTTTTTCAAACATGATCACACTACACTACCAAATAAAATCGAATAAACTTTCCTTTTTTAATTGGGCTAATACAATTATCAATGTACAAAATTGATTCACATAATATGCTAGGTTTGGTGATTTTGAAAAATTTGTTGGGCAAGAGTTTTTTGTGGAAATCAAAATTTCTTATCTTGATTTTTTATGTTAAATCTTCAATATATATTTGGTAATATGATGCAATGTTTTTTTATAAAAATATTTTTTTATTAAAATAGTGTAGAATGAATTTATTTTGAAAATAAAATTGATAGAAAAATTACTTTGATAATATACTAGCAATTAAAGTTATATTTAAGGTTTAGTGACAACAAAATGAAGTTAAAAATGCTAGATTGAGATTGAGGGATGATGATTAAAGAGCCTTTACAGGAGAAATATTTTTATCCACGATTCAGTCTCTCCACCTAAACAACACTATCAAGGAGAGAAGGAGCCATGTGATAGAGGGACCGGAGAGGGATAAAGGAGGAGACATGGGAGCTAAAAGGGAGGTGTTTATGATAAAGATTACAGAAGGTGGTGGTGCTGCTGGTGGTGGTGCTCTTATGACCACCTTTCACATACTTAATTACCCGCTCCACAGTAGATGAGTTAGATGCCATTAATTATGGCAACATAAATCTGAATTCAGAAGTCATATGGGGTTATTTATTGGTAGGATTAATTATGCCCATCCCCAACACTTTTGCATTAATTACCATTCACGAGTTGATCGAGAAGATGCTAGAAAAAGAAAAGCTATATTTCATAATTGCAAATTGACTGAAATATGTGTCTCTGAGTTATGGGTCCATGATTTTTATTAAACGATACTGTTTTATTGGTTTTTTACAAGGTATTCTGGACTGGATTTGATGAAATGTATCAAATTATTAAGAATCTAATTGATTTAAATAGATTTAGTTAGATTGATATCTTATTTAATCCATTTAAAACTTAACTGAAATCAAGCTATAGACCATAAGTTTTTCAAATGAATCTACAAAATAAATTCATTTCGACTGGATTTAATAACTATATGTCTTCTTCTTCTTTATCAGAATAGTTAATTTTCTGTCCTTGAAAGGAGTTTTGATTACAATCTCTTTCTTGTCGATGGACCACACGAAGAAGGATTGTAAGTAGGACCGACTAGCGACGACCCTGGAATTCGACTAGCCATGCACTTTGTAGTCATAAAATATTTAACAAAATACAGAGGAAAGGTTTGGAGCTCATTTGCAGAAGAACATTGATCAAGAGCAATGAAGTTACAACCAAAAGGAGAAATATGTTGTGACAAACCAAACATCAAAGTTGATAAGAATGCGTATAAGATGAAATACCGACATACCGTTGTAGAATGCATAATACTGAGTTTAGGTTTTTCATTCTCGGCTATCCATTCAAGTTTGAATAGGTTTAGTCAGATTATTGTATTACTAGAAACCTGCAATGGTTATTCAGATTTAATCAAATTAATATCTTATTCAATTCAACTATAAACTAAGTTCGAATCGGGTTTTGAATCCGAATTTTCTAGTTCAAACTATGCTAAAACATGTAGCATTGGAAGTTATAATTTCACATCCTAAGATGGATACAAAAGGTTCAGGCAAAGGCTAAGATAGAAAAGATGATATTTTTCGTTTTCAAGAGAAAGAATGTGAACCAACAAGCATGTGGGGGAGTGCGGTGGGAACAAGAACAAGGGGACGAGGATGCAAAAATGCATATGCAATGTCTCCAACAGGAATCCTATTTAGCATTAAGGGCTGACATCAGATTTTTTATTTTATTTTTTTCACCAGAAAGCCAACCCAAATACTTGTTTTCTTGGCATCTAAAAACCATATAGGAATTTCATGTCTTCTTTAACCATAAGATAAAATCTAGATGTTCATTTTCGCATTACAGCTTATTTATTAAAATATTTTTTATTTTAAAAAATATCAAATTAATACATTTTAGATGGTTTTGATGTGTTAGTATAAAAACATATAATTTTTATTTATTTTTAATTTAAAAAATATTTTTAAATAACCCTAAAAAGATGCTTGGAACAATAATACAAATTATTTTTCAAAGTATTTAATTTAGCTACAGCAGTAAAAATCACAAGAAAATGGCTTGAAATTTGAATTTCTAACGTCCGTACACTTAAATAAAACGACTAAACTCTTGATAATTAATTAATGAAGCATCATCAAATCACATCACATATGGTTGTCAACTAGTAATTAGCCCCATGTTAAAAAGTATAGTTGTTAAATCTTTTCCGAACTGTAGATTGATCCAGAAAACTTGAAGTCTAATCAAGCCGTGTTTTAAATTGAATTTTAAAAAAAAATGATTCCATGAAACCTAATTAAACCGACAAGATTGAGTTAATTCAAATCTAATCAGGTCTCACTCTAACGAATTTTTTTAAAAGAACAAAACAATGTTGTTTAAAAAAATATTAAAATAAATTAATGTAATTATTCGCAAATTGATCCAATAATTTAATAACCATCCCAAAGGCGAATTCGACAAGCATCGTTAGATATGGAGGTTGTGAGAAGGACGGCTCACGTGGCTAATTCAGACCACCTCCTTTTCGACTATTGTTTATTTTAATGGAGAGGTAATGGAGAACACCAGGAAGCTAAATGGAAGCAGCGAGGACACTCAGGTGGGGCAATGTGGGCCGAGCTAGAGAAGCCGAGGTGGCGCAGATACACAGTAGACAAAGCGTGGTGCCAAATCCTTGCCGGTGGGAGGTTCAACTTTTACGCATCGCATACACAAATTTGCTTAACCGAAAAGGCGAAACCAGGCCAAGGCATGAGATGAGATGAGATGAGATGGGAGGGGAGCTTGTGGGGAAAAGCTGAGGAAATAATTGGGGGATTTTACGCATCGCATACACAAATTTGCTTTACCGAAAAGGCAAAACCAGGTCAAGGCATGAGATGAGATGAGATGAGATGAGATGGGAGGGGAGCTTGTGGGGAAAAGCTGAGGAAATAATTGGAGGAATATGTAGCAATCCTTGCTGTGTTTGCTTCTACTCCTCACAACATTCAAATCATTACAAAGGTCTACATTGATCCCTGTATACCACATTGGCATATTGTGTAGGTCCATTCCCCACATGCCATTCCC